ATATATATATATATATATATATATATATATATATATATATATATATAAATTTGCTATGGCTGCATTACAAATACCACAGACTTTTGGTGTCTTAGACAACAGAAATTTATTTTTTCACAGTTCTGAAGGCTGGAAGTCCATGATCAAGGCATTGGTAGGTTTGGTTTCTTGTGAGGGCGCTCTTGTTGGCTTGCAGTAGACACATTTTTGGTCTTCAAAGCATTCTTTTCTCTGTGCAAACTCATCGCTGGTATGTCTTCATGTACGCAAATTTCCTCTTCTTATAAATACACCAGTCAGATTTGATTATGGCCCACCTAATGGCCTCATTTCAACATAATCACATCTTTAAAGGCCCTATCTCCAAATAGTCACATTCTGAGGTACTGGGGGTTAGGACTAAAACATATAAATTCAGGAAAGGCACAATTCACCCCATAACACCATAATTTTAAAAATTAAAAATAAAACATAATATAATATTGAAAATACAATATTTTAAAAATAAACTAGAATAAATACATAAAATCATAATAATTTAAAGAGATATCAATTGTTTCTCAGCCTGTTGTCTTCATATAAATTTGTCTCATAGTGTTACCTTTTAATATTTTACATAGGCCTCCTCACTCAATGTATATCCCTAGCAGAAAGGTTGTATTGCATTTTTCTTGTAGTGTGTTTCTTAGATCTTAGATACTCAAGTGCATCATAAGGTAAACAAAATTTTCTTGTAAGCAGCTAGCTATATCTAGCTACTAAAGTGTTATGGACTGAATTTTGGTGTCTCCCCCTAAATTCATATGTTGAAACCTAATTCTCATTGTGATGGTATTTGGAGGTTGGACATTTGGGAGGTAATTAGTCATGAGGGTACAGCCCTCCTAAATGGGATTAGTGCCCTTATAAGAAGAGGCTAGAGAGCTAGCTCACTCTCCACCAAGAGAGGATACAAAAGATGTCAGCCACCTGTAAACAGGAAGAGGGCTCTCACCAGGATGCGACCATGCTGGCACCCTGATCTTAGGCTTCCAGCCTCCAGAACTGTGAAAAATAAATTTATGTTGTTCATAACCACCCGGTCTATGGTATTTTATTATAGCTGCCCAAGCAAAGACATAAAGCTTTATCTGCTTTTAAAGAAACTATTCATCTAACAAATATTATCTCTCAGATTCAAAATTATACAAAAACTGAGAAATTGATATGAGTTAGGTGATAGCATAATTAAGAAAATTTGTAGTTGGTTAATTTTCCTCACCCAGTGTCCCAATGCTACCTCAGTGGAGATCATCTGGAGAGAGCCAAGTGCTAGATTTCCCTGTCCTGGGCAATAGGATTTCAATGAAATCATAGAGAAGATAGTGGCCAAACTTAACATCTCTGGAAAAATAGCACGTTAGTTAGAAGTCATCATTAGATTCTCAAAAAGTTCCTGACAACCTTGAAAAGATGGGCATACTAAGGTGATAAAATTTCATAAAAATAAATGCATGGTTCTACACTAGGGTCCAAAAACACTTACTGGGAAAATATAAGAAAGGTGTGGCTTAACAAGAACACACATTAAAATTTATATTAAGAATTTTCATTGGTAATAAAGAAACTGAGGGTCAATGATGTGCTTGCTGAGAGTTAATATATTAGGCTACATCAACAGAATCACAGCTTAAAAGAAGATGATGATCCCATTTTATTCAAGGCTGTTTGGGTTTTATCTGGAATTTTTGTTTCTAGGTGACAGACACACTTTATAACCTCTAATATTAAAATGGTGACTACATTTAATGCCATATCAAATGAAGAATAGCAATAGTACTTGGAAATGTTAGGATAAAACAAGGTTGGGCAGAGACAGAAAGCTTGTCTTCAAATATCTGAAGGGTTGTCATTTGTAAAGGCTTTAGGCCAATCATTCATGGCCCTCAGGGGGAAGAATTAAGTTGGCTTGGCTAACTCCTCCCTATCCTTCAGGAAATATCACTTTTTCAGGGAGGCTTTCTCTGGCCTCTGGACTGTGAGCTCCTGATCACTGGCTTCCACAGCACTCATTCTTCTCTGTTGGGCATCAGTCCTATTTCTGATTGTCAAATCATATTAACCCTGCTGGATTGTAAATTCCCAGAGAGGGTGACCACATCTGATTTGTTAATCCTGCAACACTCTGTCTAGCACAGGTGAATGAATGGAAGAACACATGAGAAATAGATTTGACTTTACCATAAAAATGTATTTTCTAATACAGTTGTGCAGAGATTCATGGACTGCCTTAAGAAATAGCAATTTTTCTTTCATAGGAGGCCCTTACTCAGGCTTAAAATGGCAGTCCACTTGCCTTAGGCAGGGATGGGGGAGTTGGGGATTAAACCATGGGGGAAGGATGACTGGATAAAATGTATTTAGCCTCCTTGCCAACCTGAGGCCCTATTATTTGAGTTCTGCTGGAAATGGTTATGTTTTTTACATCATAGGTTTCATTTTAGCACATCAACCATATTCTGATCCATTTTGGAAAAATTTAGTAATAAATTTCTATGTGATTGCTTCTGCTCAAACCCAAATCTCATTTGATATTTTCTATCCTTTCCTTCTCCTACTCTCCCTACTCCAAAAAGCTGATGATTAATATCTCCATTTTACTGTAAGGATGCACAAAGCTTCAGAAAACATAGACACAGAAAGTGAGGTAAGGTCAGACTCAAATGAGGAAAATATTTCTGAGATTCTTAGCATCAGCTGTGCCAAAAGGAAATTCAGATTTGATAAATGATACAAAGTCATTATCTTTCCATTTCCCTTTCTGCCGATTCAATTTTTGCAAGGTTCCAATTTTCCAAAGAAAGAGATCAGATTTACAGCATATACAACGATTGCATCTTTTATTTATAAGGCAAAAAACCTACCCAACCAACTTTTCATTAAGATTGTGTGCCCTGTAATACTGGTTTTCAGAGTATTAAGCCAGTATCACATAACTTTGGTTATTTCTGTAGGAATTCATAGGTAAAGACCTTGAAGGTCAATCTCTTCTCAGCACAGTTCCTGAGACTACGGATTCTGACCTTGATGACTTGATTCCGTTTGATAATGAAGTTTTGGGATGAAGTTGTGAGAAGTGTGAACACATGCTCACACTCACTATCTTTTCTCCACTCTGACTTCCTTCTAGGAGAACATACATCTTTTACGACAGTGTCCTCCAGCCCAAAATTAATTCATAGGCAATTATGGAGTTAGAAAGACAATATGTTATTAACCAGTAATCATTAAAATACATATATAACATTTATTTTGAATCTTATTATATCCATTGAGAAGGATTAGAAAAAAATTAGATAAGACAGGGAGGGAGTCACATAGAGGCGGGAAGGCTGGCAAGTGATACCCTCCAGTTGAGAGTACAATTGTTGAGAGGGCACCCACACACCAGGCAAAGGAGATTCTAGAGAGTTCTCCCCACACAGGACTGAGTATGACTGTCCTGAGTAAGTATGAGCTGGATGGAGATCATTCCTGTCACCTTTACATTTAATGCCTACCTCTTAGTGAAGACTTAATTCCTTAGTCTAAGGGTAAGGAAAACAAGGAAGGGATGACAGAAAAAACATGAGGGGGATGGGGGAAGTTACACAATTTTCAAATGCTTAACATTTTCTTTTTGTACCATGTCATGCTGGCTTTTAAAGACCAGGGAGCAGATGCTTGATTTTTATATCGCTCTGTATATTCTTATGCTTTCTACAGGTTTCAGCAAACCTTGCCAAATAATGTGGTCACTCCCAGGTTTAGTGTAACTTCAAACATGTCTCTGAGAAGAAAATACATGTGAAACAAGCATGCCTGTGCTAAGCAAAAATTACATGGATGTATTTTCTAGAGCAGTGCTTCCCAAACTTTAATGAACATACAAATCACCTACAAATCTTGTTAATGTGCAGATTTCAATCCAGTAGGTGTTGGGTCGGGCCTAAGATGCCACATTTTTAACAAGCTCTTAGGTGATGCTAGGGCCACTGGTCCATAGGCCACACTCTAAGTAGATTTTAGACGATGACATGAATATCCAGCTCCAGCAAGAAATCTGTGCCCTTAACTGCATTCCAACTTTTCTTTTCTCCCTGAGTTCCTACACTCTTTCCTGTTTCACTGGTATAAGAAAATTTTAGGACTAAGCAGAGTGGGTACAAAAGAAAAGAAAATAGTCTAAAATTACAACCTCAAGAGGAGCAATAAGATTTTAAGTTGTCTCAAGGGTAGAGATGTAATTTTTGATATGCATGAATTATACATGCTTCACGCAAATCACTGAACAAAATACACAGTAGTCTATTTCTTTCCACAAATGAAGCCCTATGTCTGCATAGCTTACAGGAAGTTTAATTAATGCACAGCATTCCAGCTCATTGTTCAGGTTCCTCTGGAGAATGAGGTGATCTGAATAAGTCAAACTTTCTAGATAACTAAAGTTTGGCTTTTAAAATTTCCAAACATTTATTTACGTGATTTTTAACCAAAATCTTTCTGGAATTAACCTATTCAAGACTTGTTAGATATACAAAGCAAAGCTTAACATATCTACAACTATCCAGGGCCAACAATGACTATTCTATGGCATGACAGAACAATGTCATAGGAGCTACTCGGGTCTAGGTGGGGCAGTGAGCTCCTACACAGTAGAGTCTTAGGTGTCTTTTGGGGGTTCTCAGCCTATTTGGGGGCCCATGTCTGCTCCTCCCTTCAGGATCAGCTGCCATGTCATAGTGCTCTCCAACACCCCTCCTCTTACAATTTTTAATCTGCTGATTTACTCTTCTCATAATATTATGGGAAAGATTCTGAGACTGGCTTCCTTCTCATTTCCCTCCTGTTTTTAATGCAGGAGCTCTCTTTCAGGGCTTTGGGTTACTAATTACCTGATGCAGAGCAATCATTCAAGCTTAAAGAAATCACACAAGCTAATGCCCCAGAAGCACCTCCTATGCTGTCCATTGAATACTCACTGATCCCGGTGTCCTTACAGTACTGAACCAGGTACTGTCCCATGACTTTTAGCAGATGATTATACTCTTGGACATTGAGAAATTCCTGCTTATTATGAGATGGTTCCATGATCTCCAAAGGTATGTTAACAATTCCAACCACACCTGCGCCAAGCCTGGGGGAACAAACACATAGATAAGTTCTGTAAAATTTAGCTAAGGAAAAAGAAAAAAAGCAAATATACCCTGATCTTTTGAAATTAGTGTTTTTCAGAAATAAATTCATTCACTTGGTCTACACCATCCCAAAGTTTAACAAGTTATCTTGCAATTGTATTTTGTTATATAAATCTATGGTGATCTCAGGTATGTTTCGTCTCATAATACAAAATGGCTTTAATACATCATTACTGTACTAACATGCCCGTTTTCCAAACCTCTAGCCTTAGATGAGGAGTCAGGGTGGGTGTTAAGAGTGGGCCTCTTAGCATTAAACACCACTGACAATGCCTTCTTGCAAGAAACAGACATAATCCTCTTAATGATACTGGCCAGAGCATCACTTTCTACACCCTCATTTCATCTGTCAAGTTGGATTTCTCCTCATCATTGCAGAGGTCAACAGGGTGCTCCGTGAATTCTACTAAGGGAATAGAAGGGCTGCAGTATTTAAGAGAGTAACAGGTATCAGCCTGTTAGCCTGATGGATCAACTCGATTGTTTCCCACTTTTGTAGCAGCTCCTGATGTACGAGTGGCTAGGATATTCTACTTAGTAACATAACCCTTTGGGAAAGAGCATCTGGACTCTGAACTCTTCATGACCTCCCAGTGCCCTTGGCATGGCAGACAAATCAAGCCTTCCCAATTTGGGGCCCCTGCTTATCATGTTTTTCACCACTTTCCCCTCCCAGCCTGCCCTCCCTTCACTATTCCTTCTGTGAATCTAAATTCGGGCATCATTTCTTCCAGAAAGCTTGACTGGACTGCCCCTGCTTCAATTTGCTGCCCCTCCTAAATGATCTTTTTATACCTGATGCTTGCCACTAGCACATATTCATTCATTCATCTCATTTAAGCTGAGCACCTGGCCCTAGTCCAGGAACTAGGAACTAGAAACACAATGTCACTGTTTATGAAGTTTCTCTTCTATTGAAGGGTAACAAGGCACGATGCTTGTAAATGGATAAATGTAAAAGGTCATTTCAGATAGCGATAACTGGTATGAATAAAACAAAGCAGGTGCTGTGATATGTAAAAAGTGATAGATGTGGGGTGAGGGAATGACATCAGGGGCTAATTTTATTAGACAATCCAGGAGAACCTTCCTGTGGAGGAGACTTTAGAGCTGGTGCCTGAGTGACATGCTAGGAAAAGCAGTAAGATCTTGAAGACAGAAGGTTCAAGGCAGAGAAAATGGTAAGTGCCAAGGCCATAAGGCAGGACTGAGCTTAGGGTGTCTGAGGAACCTGAAGCCTGCAGGTGTGAGGGGAATGCAATGAGAGGGTGGGTACGGGCGGGAGTTGTCACACAGCCAGGCAGAGGAAGCTCACTGGAAGGCCATGCCAACCAGTCCTATTCTACATGCATTGGGGTTTTAAGCAAAAGAGTGAACTAATTTATGTTTTAAAAGGTCACTCTTGCTGTTTCCACACAATATAAAAACTATGTATTGATACATGTGTTCCTTTCACTGGACTAGAAGTTCCTTAGCAAATAGTAATAGGTGTTCATGATCTTGTCTGTAGAGCTTAGTACAGGGCCTGGCAGCATGCATGATACTGCAGTATAAGTGCTTGTTGAATGGACACATGAATGAATTGTTAATTCCTTGAAAGTGAGGAAGCAAGATGAAAAATGTTCCCTGAGCCATTCTACTGCTCACGGTTGTCTTGTCTGACTCTGTGCTTCTCTATGGCCTCTTTTTTAGGACTCTCCATAATTAATGAATGCAGCTTGTGGAGTTTCAGACCATTGGGAAGACACCAGAATGTATTACTCTGGAATGCAAATAGGCTGCAGAGTGTTAATAATATACCTTCATGCAGGTAACTGGCAAGAACCCGTACATGAAGGGGCTGCACAAAATGCCAACGGGGTTGCTTTTCCAGAAGACTGTGGATTTTTCTTTCCTTTCTTTTCTAAAATTTCTTGAATATGCTTGCATTGTCTTTAAATTGGTAAAATACTGAAAACTTCATATGAGTAAATGGCGCAAGGAATGATAAACCATCAAGTTGCTTAGGAAATGCATTGAAAAAATTTCCGAAAGTGAGTTTTTTCCTTAAAGCAGGCATGCAACTCTACCAGTATTATAAAGTAAGCAGATTAAGGTCTGTGCATTGATGGGGAGGGTGAACACAGGACATGACACCTGCTCCCATTATAATTAATCACTCATTTAACTCTGCAGACAGCATCTTACTGCAACCTCCCTCATCCTGCCTGTGCCTCTGAAAACAAAAATATACTCACAAGGACTTCAGTTTCAACTGTGGGCCCACTTTCTCATGCATTTTGATCAAGCGGTTATTACTGTAAATGAACATCCCAGCGTGGCTCCGGTTTTCTATGTTCACTCCAAAGAACAGGGAGAGTGTCCTTGCTTTTTTTAATTCTCTGGCATTATATTTAGAAAAGTTAAAAAGTTTTTATTAAAGAAAAACATACAGTTTACAAAACTGTTAATAATTAAACTCAGAAGGTAAATTTCAAAGTAAGTATAGATATAAGATGTCCAGGTATTTTGCAAAACCTAGTGGTACACTCAGTATCCTAAATAGCCAAGTATTCTGCCAAACATGATAGCCAATAACTATACCAGCCAAACACACACATTCAAAAACAATTTTGCCAATTTAAATTTATAAGAACTAGACAATGACAAAATAGTTGTGAAATGTTAACTGGTAAAATATGTACACTGCAGTATTTTTTTTTAAATTCAGGTATTTCTAATACTGGATTTCTAACTTTCAGCGTGATCTCAAGCCTTGAAATATCATACATAGGTCAGAATGTGCCAAAAGACATTTTTTAGCTTTCTCTCTTTTTCCAAATCAAAGTTAATAAAGCAAGTTTACAAGGGGAACAGATATGAGCTCCTGTTTTTCTGATTCTATCCTGCTATATTATGTTTTGTGTGACTTTTCTATTAAAGGTGTAACATAGAAATTGAGACACAGCAGAATATGATCGTAGCCGGAGCTGCTGGGAGCCATGGAAAGTACCTGGATGTAAGACTCAGAAGACGGATCTGGCTTCAAATACAAGCTCGTGTTTGTAATAACTGTGACTACGAATGAGTCGCTTCAACTTTCTGTCTCATCTGAAAAATGGGAATAATACCTACCTAGCCATTTTGGATGCTGTGAGGACTAAAAGAGATAAGGTTAAATATAAACCTGGAACAGATTAGGTGCTTAGCAAATGTTTTTTTTCTTTTTCCAACCAAGAATAGTGCCAAATATAACTCTTCCCCTCCACCCATCTTGTTGCTCCTTTTATTCCACAAAAACAGCTTTTCTTTTCAAATCGTGACCATGGACATTTACAATTGGCATAAGATACTTACTGGACTGATTGAATGTCATTAAAGGACAATGATAAAGTTCTTTCAGTCCTTCTATGTGGATATGAGATAGAGAGCATCAGACTTTCTGTGGAAGTTTTTGATATGTATTTTTAATGCATGTACATGTAGAGTTAAATATATGTGAACCAAACTTTTTCTCAAAAACGTCTACTCAATAACTAGATGCCCGCTCTTCTAACAAAAAAAAGAATACTATGTAAAGAAACTCAAAAGAGGCTGTTATAAGATATGACATAATCACTCTCTGATATTAAGTGGCATACTGATTGTTCTCATTTTTATTTTTTTAAAAAAGCATTTTGCTATAAAAATAAGTTCATACCAACTGGCATTATTAACAAACTAGAGAATGGTTACATTTCATGCATACCAATGTGACTTCAAACAAGTTATCAACCAGCTTTCTCTTTCTGAAGACTTTAAAGAGGCCTTTGCTTTTCAACGAAATATTCTATGACATTTATTCAGTATTTATTCTGATAAATGCATAATTAACATTTCAAATTTAAGTTTTGGGGGAAGTGATGGTTATATAGCACTTCATGGTTCACAAAAATTATTCTAGTAATGCTTCCCTAAAAAAAATTGTTTCTCAAACTTATTGCAGTTTGATCTGACTTGAAAAGCAATTCTTTTCAGTTTAACTTGTTTAACACCTGAGCTGGACAGCAAGTCGAACTTACAAATGTAATGAATGGTGTTGTAATATAGGCTTGCTATTTTTATTTTAACTACAGATAAGCAACAAATTTACCTGCCATATTTTCTATCTTAAGTTTTAATCAGTACTAGAAGAGGGAAGGAACTGGGACCAACTCTCCAGAGTTTAAAAGGCTAAGGACACAGGGACACCGGGAAAGTGAACTTGTCAGCTGACCTCCTGAGCAGTTCACTTCTTCATCCAATCAGACACCGAACTAATTTTTCACTCTGCATTCAAAAGTTTTAACATTATGTAAACGTGTTATTTTATAAACATTATATATATATATATATATATAATATAAATATTTTACATTGACTATGTTGGTTGGGGAATTTTGATCACATGATGCTTAATATCATATAAAAGATATCAGAGGCTGAGATAGAGAAACTGTCACAATAACCATCAAATCTGCCTACTCAGAAATCAGAATTTGTTTTAATATAGTGCAGAGGATTCTGTAAAACGGAAAATCTTATGTCTTACCTCTGTTTCTCTTTAAGAATCTTATGCTTTGCCTCCACATCTTCCAAAGCTTTCTGCAATACATCCTGGAGAAGTACATTTGATTAAGAGAGAACATTATGCCATTAAATTAATGAAAGCTGAACTGATATTTATTATCCTATTATACAAAAGTTTCACAACGGTAATAGTGATAGGTCACATTGCCAAATGCAATTCAACCACAGTAGAAACTCAATAAATACTTGATAAATGACTAAGTTCCAATAGCTAAGAAGAGAAACTAAATCTTAGCCCACAGTTCTCTTCTTACACAAATTCCAATGTCCTCTCTGCCTTTCAAAAAGTCATTGCTCCCTGTAATGTCACAATAGTTTTCACAAAAACTACATGAAAGCTTGGGAAAATCATTCAATGTACCTAGACTCTAGCTTTTGTCTGTAAGAATGGAAAATGCTTACTCACATGATCAATCACATGGGCTTCTTTCAGTAAAAAAAAAAATTATAATTATAAAATTTGGTCAGTAGCCAAAAGAAAATGTTTCCTTTAGATCAAGTTGCAGGTACCCCTAAGTAATACTCTCCAAACTTTCCCTTTAGAGACTATCCCATCCATAGGCTTCCTCCCTTTCAGAGTGACTCAACACCAGTCCCCCGTCTGTCTTCTCTTCAAATTTGGCATATTGGCTCATTCACTACCCTATCTGTAGTATGCTCCAACTAGCTAGGCCAGAAAAAATAAAGATAATGCATTATTATTTCACAAGTAAGGACAGACTTTTAATGTGTCCATCTACCAAATGTGGAAAATGGGCATCTCATTTTATGGGTATACCACTGACTGAACATTATTTTCACTGACTTCAAAGTAAAAGAAAATCGTAAATCGTTGGTAAATATTTCACTTTCAAATTCAACCACTCAACTGCCCAGAGGAATTGAATGGGTCAAAAGCCTAGGTCATTCTGCTTTGCATTAAAGAAACCAGTGTGCATCAGAGACACAGAGGCACCTGGTCAAAGACTTCCCTGCCCTTCCTGTCACTGTACTCAGAACATAGAGCAAAGACGCAGTGAGAGGTAAAAGGTTGAGGTAAGGCAAGAAGAAAGCAAAGTCCTGACCCATTTAGAAAACGTCTGTTTCTCTTATCTCTCAAATACATAAAGCCAAGGAAACTGATTACTTAGAAACAAAATTAAAAAAAAAAAAAAAAGAACAAGTGAAAAGAAAAAAGTAAGAGAATTTGGGGAAAGCCATGGATAGCTTTGGGGCATTACCATGTGCTACTCTGATTTCATCCCCTATTCATGACCATTTAGATATGAGAGTTCTTTATCAGACATAGCCCTGATTCTTGAAAGTTTAAGGGCAAATTACAGTAAGGATTCATATACTGAGTCTGTGGAAGAGGATGAAGAAAAGGTGAAGTAAAGCATTTTTTTCTCCAAATACCTACCTATCATTTTATACACAAGCAAATATGTTGTGTAATGATTCATCGGAGTAGAAAGCTTTGTACTATATTTTTGGTAAAAGTTAGCAAACTTACAATACCTACCTTACAGCAATATTCTTTTTCTCTTAGTCACCATGCATTACAATTAATAATAATAGTTCTTTATAACTTATCTTACTCATGAGCATATTGCAAGAATTACAGAGAATGTTTATGAACTATGTGGAGCACCTCATAAGAAAAGAGCTTTGTAAGCTAGAAGCATTGTTATTAATATTCATAATTATAGCACATAATTCCCAGAACTAGAAAAAAAATTGCTTATTAGTCTTCTCCTTGCTCTCCCCATTTATTTAGATCCATAGGGAGCTATAACTTGAAAAGATATTTTCAAGGAGACTTGATAAACTAGGTTTTTTCTGCTAGTTTTTCATTACTTTCTCCTTTCCTCATATTCCTTTTCTTTTCATTTTAAAGAAATGAGTTGTGATTCTCTTCCCCACTGTTCCAAATTCACCCCGCGTTTTGTGCATCTTGGCTCCTGTCTTAGCCTTCCCTCATTTGCTGAGTTTCCGCTTCTTTCTCTGCGCTCATTATTCTGTTTACCTGTGTTAAAATCAACTTAATTTTCTAAGCTTGACTGAGTTTAAAGTTTAGGAAGTAAATGATAAGAGATGACTGTGTACAGGAAAAAGCAAATAACACTGTTTGCCATCTAAGAAGACTACTCTATACATCATACCTTGGCAGAAGAAGACAAGGAAGCTCTGTCAGGATGGTTTACTTCGATTTGTGCTTCTTTCAATATGAGTTCAGCTAGAAGCAGAAGCAAGGCAACCATAATACCACGAAATTAGTATTTTAAGCAATTTTACATGATATATATATATATATATAGAGAGAGAGAGAGAGAGAGAGAGAGAGAAAGAGAGAGAGAGAGAGAGAGAGAGGAATGTATACACAATTTAAGAAAGAAAAACTGTATTAAAATTGTAATAATATATACCGATAACAAAAGATGAATACAAGTCACATTTGACTTCTACAATTACGAGAGGTGCTCAAAGTGGTTGCCATCAGCATCCAGGCACTTCTGATTATGGTGAACTGTTTGAGCAACATTGACCAAAGTGTCCACTTGTATACATTTTTTTGGCACCCCCAGTACATACAAACACACACACACACACACACACACACACACACACACACACACACACTAAGTGAAAAAAGCGTACAGATAATCATCTCAGAAAATCCTATATTCCTTCCATAGGTCTTACACATTCCCACATTCCAAGTCTAGGCAGCCATACAGGACTTTCTCTTAGGTATGGCAATTTAAAGAGCATAAATGTATACATAAAAATTAAAAAGTCAGGACTGAATGGCTGGCTGAAAACTTTCTAAAAATCTGTGAAATATGGATGTAGCTCTGTTCCTTGCTCCTGGATCACTGGGACAGGATGGCTCTGCTCTTACTGAGAGAGGCGTGAGTACATGGAACATTCCTTCTTAGAGTGGATGCAGCACTAGTGACTAAAATGATCTAATTCAGTATCAGTGACAACAAGAATTTCTAAAATGCACCAATCTAGTTCCAAGTGTGTACTTGGAACTTGGATCACACTTATAATAGCATTATAATTAAACAAAACCAGAAATGGAAAAATATGTGTTATAAAGTGCCTTAGAGGTCAGAGCTATGTTTGATTAATTGTGGTCATTCCTACAATGCCTAGAGCACTGTATATCTCAGCGTAATTGCACAATTAATGTTTGCAGATGAATGAACAATAATGAGGTAGGACACAGGTAATTACATACCAATCTTTACTGCTTCTTCAGCTTTTTTCACTTCTTTTTTAAATGCTCCTTTAAAAGAAGATGTGACATACAGATACTTTCTGGGGGAAAAAAAGAACATAATCAAGACAGATTATCATTTTAAAGTACATAACACAAGAATATTCTTTAAGAAGACTATATACTCCAGAGATATATAATTATTAAGAAAGGCTCATAAAGTAAGTTGCATCCAGCCAATAAATGAGAAAACTTTACACCTAAGAAGAAATCCCTTACCTTTTAATACTTGGCAATTTTGATTTTATAAGGGAACTTAAAAAGAAAAAATGTCCATGCAATTGCTCCATCATCAAAGCTTCTGGTTAATATACATAACCCTCTTACTTAGGTCATTACTGACACTGAATAAACTGCTTCTCCCAGTCCCCAATTATATCTAACTGAAATGCTCAGAAACACACATTATTGTAATTTTAAACTCCTAAAACATATTTTCTACTTTATTACCATTGCCTTAGTGAGAACAAAGATGCTCTAGATTAAGGAATTAGGAAAAAAGTATGTATCTATATATCTCCATAAACTCAAAGTGAGAAAAGCTCTGTTGAGCAGAGGGGTTGAAACTATGTGTGTATCTGTTATAGACAATCCCTGGAATCCAAGATTTTAAATGTTGATTTAAATCATCATGGAGAGAAAAATTCCAGAACAATGTTTGGCTTGAGAAGGCTCAAACCCTATACGCCCCATTCTATAACTTTTGCCTCATATCCCCATATATTCAGGAGCTCACCATTCTCTGATCCCTTCATGTTTAGAAAGGCATCACACTTTCAGCGAAAGGTAGGTGACTTGTAGATCATCTCTGGAAGCCAAAATGTCTTAAGACATATAAAAAGAGGTATTTGCTCAGGCAGAGGGGAGAGTCTAAATCTATCTATATGCCCCAATACGTCTATGCCAGGGGTAGGCAATACATGGCCCATGGGCCATATTTGGCCAGCAGCTTGTTTTTGGTGCAGCCTAAAACCTAAGAATGATGTTTTCATTTTTAAAGGATTGCAAAAACACACAGACACACACACACACACACACACACACACACACACACCACAAAGAAAAAATAAGAATATGCAAAAGAGACTGAATGTAACCAGATATTTATTATCAGACCCTTTACAGAAAAGGTTTGCTAGACCCTGGAATTTATGCTAATAGTAGTAGCTTTTAAATGATAGTTTGATCTAGGATTGCCTTTATATGTTCTGACTTTTAAATTAACAATGTATGCAGTAGTGCAAATTCTTCACTCTACAAACAGGTCACATATAATTTAAATGTTTGTTAGCTGGAGTCTGTTTATAGTTTGTCTTTAACAAACTATTATCTCAACGTTATCTCTACAGAGGCAGTACAGAAATACTCAAGACAGAACACCTCCATGTTTGAGCATTAAGAGCTGGACTGCCTAGAACCCATTTTGCCAGGGTGAGAGGTCTAGGTGTGCCACTACCTAGTAGTGTAAGACTAGGCAAATTACTTCATTTTCTGTGATTCCATTTTTTTATATGTAAGGAAATGATATCTGGGTGATAACAATGGTATCTATCTCACAAGGTTGTTATGAGAATTAAAGGTATCTATGCATTTAAGAATAATGCTGGCTTGGAGTAAGTAGTAATATGTGTTTATTATTATCTAATTATCATTATCCAATAAACACATATTAAGTACTTACACCCTCAATGTGTGTTTAGAGAAAAAATACTTTGGGAGTGAGGAAATGAAATGAGTAGTTGGATAAATTCCTTTTCTTTTAGAATCTGAAGGATTTGTATAGAAGTTTGCCCAGTTACTACATGAAAAGGCTTAATGTTTAAAACAACTAAATGTTATCCTATATTCACCTACTTCAATGTTTAATGAACAATTCCAGTAATAGCTAACTTTGTATCTTTACAGCTAACTTTAATATTTATTTTTCCATAGATTATACATTTAACCACAGAAAAAGAACACCCATAAAATCTAAGGTAAAATAATTCTGTTTGTTCCCTTGATTTTTTTTCACAATGAACATTATTCACTGACGACATAATCTAGGTGTGTTCCAAATTAGACTTTATTACACTTAGAAAATAGAAAAAATTACCGTATTTTGCCATATATAATGCATTCTTGTGTATAATGCACACCCAGATTTTGGACCAAACTTTCAGGGAAAAAATCTTTCGTGTTAATTTTTTAACTCAAATTGTTATTTGTTTACATTTAGGTACTTGTTTTTTGTGTTATAAAGGAATTTTAACATTTATTTTTTAGCATATTATAGTACAAGACATTTTATGTACCAGTAACAAATTTATGATATTTATGCATCATAGGAAGCCAAGAACTCTTTGTCATTGCAAGTTCGTCATAAGTTCAACAAAACTGATTATCGTATTTCAGAGTATTATTTTGCATATGTATATCCTTATTGATTTCTAAAGTTACACTTTTAACTCATAAGCATAAATAAAAGAATTAAAAACATTAATATACATATGGAATTAGTACTACTCATGTATAATGCACATCCTTATTTTTCCCTCACAAATTTGGGCAAAATAGTACACACTATACATGGCAAAATATGGTAATTTTTAAAGTAGAAAATTATTGTTCCCTATAGACTGGAATTATTTTTTTAATCATACATTAATCATATAATTATTCTGGTCAAATCATTTCTTTTAAATCAAATCTTTTTTAAAAATCAAAATGAAATCAAGGAGAAACTGTTTGAACAGTGAAATAAGCCTTCAAAGATGATATGAACTACACTATTCAAGCATTTTATAGACCATGTGTTTACAGCCATATGAAAGTAAAGGAGGCATAAAAGGTGCCAAATCTGCATTAGTGATTAATTTTAAACAACAAAGACCCAAAACGGTGTTCTCTTCATGTAGTCTGCATCATTAAGATAACCTGGTCCCAGGAGGTCTGCACATCTCAGATTGTCTGTATATCTTTGCAATTTAAATTTTACAATTGTTCACAACCATTATAGAAAGCTAACTAAGAAATATATGCACTTTTGTAAATCCAATGTAATGAATCTTTCCATTCTCATAAAGGAAAGAATTTCTGGTCAAATCTCCATCCATAATTGAGAGCCTCCATCAGCCTGACACTTCTATTTTTTTCCTACTAGTGGATTCTTGAAGATAAAAATGCCTTTGAGAGCCAGACTCCTGCATCCATCCACTGGAGGAAAAGGAAGACAATCCATCCAGCTTTGTCTGTTCCTCAGACCTTGCAACTGAGGAAAAGGGAATTGTGTCCCCCTCTGGAACTAGGGCTCCAGTTCCTCAGTGGTTAGAATTTTTTCTAAATTTTGTGATTACTTTATTTCTTTCCACAACCTTAGGCTGCAGCCTCTCAGGCTCCCAGATTGTTTTTGTCTTCTCTCTAAACCCTACAGTGCTCTGTTACATTTTAGGCCTTAACTATTCCTCACCCATTTTACCTTCTACTTCCCTCTTTTTCATCAGTGAAATTGCATTCAAATATTTTGCTTATATCCACTTTCAATATAAAATGATTTATCGAATATTTTCTTCTAAAAGAGCTAAAAAAAATAAAGTCAGTGAAAAGTATTGAGGGAAATGAAGATCAAAGCAATACAAAAGTTTTGCTCCTAAGAATGGTAAAAATTTTAAAAAAAGAAAATACTGTTATATCAAGTGTGGATTTGGAACCAGACAAAAGGGTACTCATTGTTAGAATAAATTGGTTTCTATTTCGTAGAGGGTAAATTAACAGCACCCATCAAAATTAATGGTATACCTATCTTCTGACCCAGAAATTTACTTCTATGTTTGATAAAAATAACCACATATAAGTGTAAATATGCATATGTCCAAAGTTGCCCAAGCATCAGCTTAGGATAGTAACAATAAAAACCCTAAAAACCCTAAATATACACCAATAAAACAGTTAAATAAATGAGAGTACTATACAATATATTTAACAATGACAAAGAAAGATCTCCAAGAGCTAATTTTGTAAGTGAAAAGAATAGTTGCATATAATTTTGCTTTAAAAAGAACTCTGTGTGTGTGTGTGTGTGTGTGTGTGTGTGTGCGTGTGTGTGTGTGTACTAATGTGCAGAAGACAATTGGAAAGGTTTTTATTAAACTCTTGGCAGAGGCTCCCCTTTGGGGAGATTATGGATTGCTAGAGCAGAGTGAATAACAAATGGTAAAGGGAGCTTTTAGTTATTTGATTTTTTCCCAATATCTAACTCAGTATCACATGAATTTTTATTAATTTTACTGTTTTAAGAGCAAAATAGAACCCCCACAAGAGAAGTAAAAATATGAAAAAAGTTGAGTAACTTTTAAGGTTTTATATTGCGGAAGTAGAGTACAGCATAATACAGCATTTTCAGTGACCATTTTGATCAGAACCACACCCAGAAATTTAAACTTTCATTGGCATTAATACTCAGCTATAAAATTTGTCTAAAACATTTTGGCTAATATCAAAAAGAACATTTTAAGTTGAAAAAATAGACTACAGTTCTGAAGTTTTATTTATGCAGAAAACGTTATCCCACAGTTATGAATCACAATTACATTTCAGTATTCACAATCATAATTATTTTCTTTTCAAAAGTATCAGCGTTTACCTGGTTTTGTCATACTGCAAAATAGTTATAGTCCTTAATTATTCATCAAAACACATAATGAGGCTTGATCAAAAATTTTTCTGCCTAGTATAATGTTGATAGCTAGACCTGGATGTCAAATAGATGTCAAATAGACTTCTCAAACATACTTTGTCCAGAGCAAGTGGAGAGGATGCCATTCCCCTTCACTCCTAACTCGTACACCCACACCTCCCCCATCATTCCTAAGTTTTTGCACAGGGAAAAAACTTAGAAGGCATTCATGACTGCTCATTTTCTCTCCACCCCACATCCAATTCATCAGCAAGCCTTGCTGGTTTTATCTTTACAACATATCTATAATCTGAACACTTCCCATCACTTCCACAACTATTGGGTTGTCAGAAAAGTCATGACGTATTTTTCTATGTTTTTCGTTGC